TTCTGCATGATCAGCAACCTCGCACCAAGCTTTACGCCGTGCCACGGTAGTCACGGGATGCAAGTCACAATTCGTTCAGGGAAACTTACCATTGTCACTTACAAAAAGAAAGTCTAGCTTAACGTCATCATCCATGTTGAAGTGAGCACAGCAAAAAGTGCCTCATGCGAGACGTCCTCGCTGCAATGGCCACACACGAACCACGCTTTCCATCTTCCCGCGATGCACTATAACGTCGGCGGCGCTCGCTGTTTGACGGGAGATTTTCGCCATCTTCAACGCGTGGCCAGCATTTTCGTGGCTTGACAAAAAAATCATTATCCAATTTCCCTCCAAGCTCCAACACAAGCTTCCCACTTCACCTTCTGTATCTCAGCACCATGAAGACTTTCGCCTACGCCGCTGCCGCCACTGTTGCCTGCCTCGCCACGCAGTCTTCCGCTTACAGTAACACTGCGTGCCCAATCTCGGAGACTGTCAAGCTACTAGCCCTGGGCGACGACCAGTACCTTGATTCGTGCCAGACCGCATCGGGTTACACGTTCGTGCCGCCATCGGCCTACCCCACCGAGTCCCAGATCTTGCTCATGTGCTTGACACCGGACTGCCACTCGCTCATCGCTGATCTCCTGGCCCTCGAGCCAGCAGACTGCGTGATCAACTTCGGCACCGTGTCGATCAACGTTCTGGAGCTCGCAGAGAGCTTCACACCCAACTGCACGGCTCTCGGTCTTTGAGCTTAAGCGACCCAGCTCGCTACGCAACAATAACGAGTGTTCCAGTGACGTGAACAAACAGCTCGTAGCCAAGTAATGAAGTCGTTTAACGTGCACATTGTTTATTTTGTTTTTCGTATTGTTTCACTTCTGTGCTAACTAACTAATATTACCAGTAACAGTTTTGACAAGCGTCGGGCATATTCTATCTAACCTCGACGAGTTTCAACGATGATGAAATGACGAAACATATCGAATTGCTGGCTTTTCATTTTTGTTGGTCGAAAGTTACAAAGTAGTTCATCGTGTAACATTTTGATACATGTACTACATAGTATTGGTTACAATCTCGAAGCCGCAGTCTCGATTCCCTTGTTGCAGTGCTGTTTGATGATCCGGCCAAGCTCTGCGTAAAACTCGCTGTTTCTAGAAGCAGAAGGGAATTTATGTCCGCCGTCGTGTACGAAGATTCGCTTCTTGAACGCATTAGGCTCCGCTTTATCCGCCCACGACAACGCCAATCGGTGAGATTCATGATAAAGTGGGTCCGTCTTTCCAATTAGATGAATCGAAGGCAGAGGCACAAGAACGCGGTCCCCTGACATGTCCAGGAAGAGTGATTTCACATTGACACCACTCACGTCCACGCCACCAACGCAGATCACGAGTTTCCACCAGCGCACGTTGCCATGGCGCAGGTACCACATCGTCAAAATCGTTAACAGCGCCGCGCCCTGAGAGAACCCTATGACGATGTCGAACGGACCCTGACGACGAAGTTCCTCGTCGATCCTTATCATTGACTGCTCAATGCCCTTGTATGACAGACTCCATGCATGGTCTTCTCCTTTATCCGCACCACTTTGGAGGCGCGCCTTGGCAGATGACTCTGCGTCGTTGTACAGTAACGGAGATCCATCTGCTAATTGGTTCTCAAACCATTCGTAAAACGGAGCGCTCGCCTTGTACGCACTCTCGACCATCGGGTCACTCGTCCCTCGAGCTTCATACGTGCCGTTGAGCATCACAAACTCGGCAGAATCCCCCAGCGCAGTGCGAATCCCGCGCGTTTGGTCCATCATGACCGCCTTGTTGGTGCGAAACCCGTGCAAACATAACACGCGAATCTTCTTGGAGGACTCAAATGGGGGCGGATTTAGCGCCCTAGGGACAGGCAGATTCTCAGCTACAATCACCATGATGAAGAATTGACAAGTGGCGGCCGTGCATCAAAATGTCGACTGAGCAAGGCCAACTTCAACGATGACGTGTACAAATTGGCAATGAAGATAACAATGATAAGGTTCGCATCAACTTGGTTCAACAAGAAACATGGGAAGTTGGTTTATTCTTCTCTATAAAACACTGCTACTGCTTAAAGTCTTGCAACGGAGCTCTGGCGGGTGTCGTCGAAGAACTGCCAAATAGTGCTCGCCAAGTCCTCGTAAAACTGCTTGTGTCGCTTAGGAGTTGGGAATTTGTGTCCACCGTCGTGTTCCAGTAAGAGTCTTGGCAACGGACTGCCCTTGGGGTTCTCTGTGAACATATCTGTCAGGACCAAAGATTCCTCATACAAACTGTCCTTCTGCCCCACGACGTGGATTGACGGGAACGGTACCAGAATTTGCTCTCCTTCATGCGTTTCGAACAGCTCGCGGACGTTAATACCTCTCGGGTACACGCCGCAGACGCAGAGTAGGAGTTTCCACCAACGCTTGTCGGTCTTCTTCAGGTACCACATGGACAGGATCGTGAGCATGATGGCGCCTTGTGAAAAGCCCACGGCCAGGTCGAACTCGCCCAGCTCGTTCAGTTTCTCGTCCATATACTCAATTCCCTGGTCGATGTCCTCAAACTCGAGGCACCAGCGCTTCGTAGTGCCTCTTGGTACGCCCTCCTCGGCTTCAATGTCCTCACGTTCCTCCTTCTCCAGATACCGAGCAGCCCACCACTCGTAGAATGGCGCAGTTTTGCCGAACATGCGCTCAATAACCTCATCGGTTGGTCCGCGCGCTTCGAACGGCCCGTTGAGGAAGACAAACTCGGCGTTGGGACCTAACGAGTCTCGCAACCCGCGTGTCTGACTTTCCATCACTTGGATATTTGTTCGGAAGCCATGAAGACACAAAACACGAAGTTTCTTGGTCGGAGGAGAAGTAATAGGAGTGGCAGATGACATGGATATCTTGGTGCTCGTAAATTGGTGTCTGAAGAAGGAGGAGGTTGACAAGACACCGATGCGACGCCTCACGTGCCGAATTTGACGTAAGCGAAAAAGAGATCACCTACTATGTACCTTTTTAGTGGTACAAAGGAATGTGTTGAAAGTGTCAGCTAACTTGCATGTAACTTTTCAAACTGTTATCTCGAGATGGAAAACCCAAGGTGAACGTGAAGTGACAATTGATTGGAAACGATGATCAGTTGGATAACGGTTTTCCAGCAACCAAGTATTATTCTTCCACCATCGCAATGAACGCTGAACCAGCTGACCCACGCGCTGACAAGGGCACTAAAGACGTCGCAGAGACCATAACCGGCGGAGACACGATACACGCATTGAAGGACAACGTAACCAACGAGGAGGACGAGCGGGACGAGCAAGCCGCTTCGAAACGTACTGGTGCTGCAACCGCGGAGAGCAAGAAGAACGGTATCGCGCTGCTGGGCGTGGGGTCACTATCGCAATGGGGCTGGGCCGAAAGGCATTCCAATGAAGATCGGTGTGTGGTGGAAAACATTGAGCAGTTCCACCTGTTCGCGGTCATTGATGGTCATGCTGGCTGGAGGACGGCCGATTTCCTAGTCGAAGAGCTGTTCAAGACGCTGGACGGAGTGTACGACAACAGCTTCGACCAGACCAAGCTCTTCAAAGTACTGGAGGAACTGGATAGTAAGATCTACTAGTAGGCTATTATTTCTTCTTCCTTTTTTCAAACGATCGGTCTTCGTAGTTGGCAATGCAAGTACACGATTTAAGCTTGGTTACTGTTTATTACTTGGTTTGTTAGTAGCACTACATGGAAAAAATATATAATACGTCACTAAAAGTCTGCGGGGCCTACCTTCAATCGGTAGAACAGCACTTATCCATCGTGTGCTCAGACGAAGCCGCCACCGCCGGCTTTACTCATCAGCCCGTCGATGTTGAGCATAACGTTGCCCTGACGATTCGCCACCAACACCTCCGACAAAAGGCTGTTGGACGTATCACCTGACACCACTGTCTTCTTGTTCTTCGCGAGCGAGCCCAACATGTCCAACTTCCTCATTTCGAGCACATGCTCTCGGTACTTCTCCAGCTTTTTCACAGCAGATCCTTCAGCGCGAGCGACGATCTCTGCAGCCTTTGACTCCGAAGTGACTCGGACTTCATCAGTCGTTGCCTCCAACTGCATTTGCAGTGCAGCCTTCTCGGCGTTAATGAGCCCGATTTCGGCATCGCAGTGAGCATTAATTTCAGCCGCGATACGCACAGTCTCAGCCTCAATCTCTGCAATCTTCAAGGCTGCTTCGACGTCACGGTTGTTGCAGATCACAGCAGTCTTCTGGTTGATCTCTTCGTCTGTGAGTTTCGTCTGTGCGTTGATGAGATCGATACCTTTGCGAATCTCAGCACACTTGGCCTTACCCGTCTGCTCCTCCTCCATGTACATCATTCTGCGCTTGAGTTTGGTCGTGTCGATCTCCTCTTTGTACTGCAACATTTGCATGTCACTCATCTGCTTCATATTCTGCTCCTTGATGGCGCTCAAGTGTGTCGTACGGCTCTCCATCTGCCTCTGGAATTCCTGCGGAAGGGTGACGTTGGTGATCGCAACGCTGGTAATTTGCACGCCGTACGTGTTGAACTGGTCGTTCAAGCTGCGCTTGATGTCTTCAGTAACGCAGTACATCACCCTCTCTTCCGACGGAGTATCCTCCGTCTTTTTCATCTTGGGGGAGTGGAACTCGTCGTTAACTGGCCGGTTGGTGCGGAAATTGAGCGCTCCCGTCTTGAATCTCTCGCGCATGGTGCCGTCTCGAAGCTGGTATACTTCCGTGTGCTCAACACTACGAGCCAGAGCGCGTACAGCTTCATCTTGCGCAGCCCGAAGCTGAACTTCGAGCCCATTCGGACCTAATTCGTACACGAAGCGGCGAACGAGCTCAGGGTCTTCGCCCTTGGACTCGTCCCCCATGATTCGGAGGATCAGACACATATCGATGCCGACGGTCACGTCGTCCGCGGTCTTGCAACCCTTAACGGGTGTGTCGAACACAATGTATTGCTTGGTGACGAGGTGGGCCACCTTGGTGAAGACCGAGGCGAAGTGCATCCCTGGGGGCCACACGGGCGTGCGACTGCCGTCCGACTTGACGTAGTCCACGTCGCGTCCTTGGTGTTGCACGAGAGCATACGTGCCCTCAGGCACGCGGATGTAGGGCTTCACAGGGCTACGACCCGGATTGATGATCACAACGGTGTTGCCGTCGTAGCAGGCGCCGAAGACGCGGTTGGCGGCATCCACACGCCATGTATTGCGGTACAGCAGCCGCGTCTGGTGTTGCGAACCACCGGGGAGCATGTCCGCACTGAGTTTACTGCCGCCACAGCCCATGGAGAGAGAATTTGTCTTGAGTGTTTGACTGAAAATTCAGGAATGACACGCACTTCAACTTGTCGGCGACAGAAATGTGGATACAGGTTTATGGCTACACTTCGTGGAAAAGAAACAGCAACGAAAAGAAAGCAGATGTAAAAAATGTAGATACATTTTGGTAGCTACACTTTCGTCTTTAACCTTCACTCTCGCTTTCATTTTCTCAGTTCCTCGTTGAAGAACAACCATTTTCAAATTCACTAACTACCACAACCGACAATGATGACTTCGTCGTCAACGCCCGCGACTCGCTACAGCTACCGCGTGAATCACCTGGTGCAGAAAGACATCCGCAAACCCATCGATGCCATGAAGACCTTCAACGCCAAGGTGACGGATGGTCGGATCCCGATCGTTCTCACGCCCAGCTACCCGACGTTGATCACCTTGTTCATGAAAGTGCCGTCGGGGCTTTGGGTGCTCAAGCAAAAGTGGAACGCCCACGCTGGTATGATGGATCCTGGTCTCAAGATGTTCTGGCCGGCCTGGAATCGCGTCTCGCACATCGTCACCAAGCAGGCAGTGACCTACTCGAACCCTGTGCGCGGATGCCCCACCTCCGACAATGTGATGGTGGATATCGATATCTCCATCAGCTTCCAGATCGGCCCCACTGAGGACGACGCCTACACATTCGTGTACACTTTGGGTGCGCATCGCTTCGACGAGCTGCTCTACAGCTTGACAGAGGAGGCCATTCGCGGCCTCGTACACTCAGTGCGTCATGATCAGGTGCATGATCTTCGAGAGGAGTTTGCCATGGGCATGAAGACGGATCTGAATGCCAAACTTAAGTCCTTCGGTGTCTTTATCCACAACGTCAAAGTGACTAATGTGGATTTGCCACAAGCGCTCTCCAGGACGCTGGAAGAGACTACGGCGTTCAAGACGCGCATGGAAGAACAAGAGAAGAATCATGAGAATCAGATGCGTATTCTGCTAAACCAGGAAACGCAGAACCTCACCGCGTTAGAGAAGAACAATGAGCGTGCGATCCAAGATCTACAGGCTGAAAGTGTTCGTGCCGCTATCATTCGTGACGAGCGACGCACGATCGCTGAGGCCAAGGCACAAGTTACAGTTGCTGAGCATGTGTCGAGAAACGAAAACAAGATCAAAGCGGCGGAAGGTTACAAGGCTGATGCTGTGGCCACTGCGACTGCTAAGACCGTGAAACGCAAAGCTGTGCCGTTGGTGGAGCTCAACAACCTCAAGACGGACTTTGAGCAGTTCGTGAACGTTGCCAAGGTGAAGGGAGACGCAAGAATTCAAGCTGCGGAGAAGGAAGCGGAGAAGATTCTGGCGAATGCCGAGGCAGAAGGCAACTCGGCTGCGTTCCTGAAGGCTAAGCGTGACTTCGACTACAAACAAAAGAAGATTACCATGGAGTCTGCCTTGCTCCAGTCCGTTCCACTTGTCGTTAGTGGCAAGAATGGAGACCAGCTCATTCAAGGCACGCTGTTGCAAACAATTGCGCCAGCCAAGTGAACGGACTTCTACGAAGTGACGCATTTTCGAGCCACAGCTCGCCCAACGGAAGGCATGACGCTGTCATCGATGTTTTAGTTGAATATTTTTATTGAGTTGGTGACTATTTGGCACTGCGAGAGCTACAAAGCAGCCTATTTTTTTTTTAATAACGCAACACATTTATTTGCAGCCTTTGTGTATATTGTTGCCTTTGCTGTAAGATATTTAGGCGATCCACTCACTTGCAGACGGTGACTCGCAGTGCGAGCGAATGATCTGTGCCACGTCTTCGTAAAGCTGTTCGTGTCGCTCTCCACTAGGAAACCTGTGGCCTGTGTCGTGCTCGAACACGAACTTGTCGCGAGCTGCTCCCTCGGGCTGATCCTCGTACATGTCCACCAATTCGTAGCATCCGCTACGCCACTTGTCCGTCTTTCCAACAATGTGAATCGATGGCATTGGAACCAACTTCTTAGTACCATCCGGGTGCTCGAACAATGGACGCAATGCAGCCCCACGCACGCGCGGACCACAAACACTGACGCAGCACTTCCACCATCGCTTATTGTGGTGATGCAGGTACCACATCGTCAGCGCTGTCATTGTCTGTGCCCCTTGAGAGAAGCCCACAACCGCGTCAATAGGTCCGAGTTTGGGGAGCTGTTCGTCCATATACTTGACCGTGGTGTCCCAGTCCACATAGTCGTGGTACCATCCGCCGTCCAGATATTCAATCTCCTGCGTCTCCGGGTCCAATCGGTGCGGCCGCTCGCGCTCCGTGAAGCTTCCCCATTCGTAGAATGGCTTGTTATCGTCGTAGAGTTTCTCGATAACGTCGTCCGAAGGTCCACGGGCTTCGATGGGCCCGTTCAAGAACACGAACTCGGCGTGTGGAGCCAGCGCCTTGCGCAGCCCGCGCGTCTGATCCTCCATGATCTTGGCATTGGTGCGATATCCATGCATACACAGCACGCGCAGCTTCCTAACCACACCCATGATAGGCGAATCGGAAAGTGAGAAGTCATCGCTCTAAGAAGTGCATTTTCACGCACTGGCATAGTTGACGTCAACTTCAAAATGTTGCGTACACCATCATTGGTGTGAGAAACATCGAATTTGATGTATCCATCCAAATGACGTCTTGATTGGTCAATACTCCTAGGGACGGAGTACAGTAGCCAGCTGGATTGACAAGAAGAAGTCCTCCAGTATCAGACTGCAGCATGAGCGGAGGAGGTACGCGGCGACTGGCGAAGTCTGTTTCGGTTTATTCGTTACCCGGTTGGCTGACCCTAGTGTCCTCTGTCTGTTGATGTTTGGTTCACCTCTCGACAGGCTATTTGTGCGGCACCATCTTCAGCTTCGTGGGCTTCGTTTTCCTGGTACACTGACGTGACGCTTTCGGTGGTCTATTAGCGCTGCCCAGCAATAGAATTACGCGTGCTTACACTCTTTTCATTATTTATTATGTGTATTTGTGATAGGTGGTGGTGGGATCGCTGCTCAAGCTACAGCCCATGTACATTCTCAACGCAAAGACGCCTAATTCCGGTGCCAACGCATGTTTTGAAGCCGGTGCGTCCTTCATATGCGAGTCAATTAATCGATTCTTGACTGCTAATATGCGTGTGTTATTTGCTACTCTCTGGGTTGTGTGCGGTGATTTCGTTAAAATTTGATGCTGCTCAGCCATGTTGTATGCCGTTGCATTGGTCGTCTGCTACACGATGTGGCGAAAAGAAAAACTACGTGCTGGCGAGCTGGACTTCCTATCGGACTCTTTCTCGATCAAGCGTGAACGAGCTTTCTATGGTTCCGAAGACTCAGACGAGGAGCTGCCACTGGCGAAGAACATGTCTCCCACGCCACGCATGGTGTAGAAGTCTCTGAAAACTCGTCGAAGTCAGACTAGCGATGATATCTAAGACCACAACTGTTTTGCATAGTCCAAAGTGTTCCAGATATTCGTGCTTGAGCTCTCACCCATCTCTATCTTTCTCGCTAGCTGACCACCAACGTCCGAGTCCCTTATACCCACTCTATCACTGTACTCTGTTTTTTCATGTTCAGTACACCAAAATCCTCCCTCACCGCCATAATAGATCTCAGTAGCCAAATTCTCGATAGTGTCTAAGCATGAGCGACTGGCGCCCTGCAGATCTACCGAAATCCACGCCCACCGGCTGGGACTCCAGCGACGAGGACGAGTTCTCGACCTCTCGTCAGCAGCATCGCGCTCAAGTGGCGTCCGTGTTGACGCAGCTGCCGCGTGCCGCCCAGGACGAAGATGATGACGGTCCTACAGCCAGCAGCCCAAGTGTACAGTCCACAGCGCTAACTACGTACAGTTCATCTGGCCTCGAGGGTCTCTACGACTCTCCAGGATACACAAGCAACGGAGGCAGCAGCTACAGCAGTTCGGGGGGCTATAATCGACCCAGAAAGGTCTTCACAGGCCTGTCTAACCAAGGAGCTACTTGCTACATGAACAGCCTGCTACAGAGCATGTTCATGACACCTGAATTCCGCCAGGGCTTGTACAATTGGACGAGCCATCGATCAGCCAAGAGGTTGGAGAGTCAAGAACAAGAAGATAAAGAAGAAGACGACGAAGAAGAAGCAGACGAGGATAACATCCCGTTGCAGCTGCAAAACCTATTTGCCAAGCTGCAGCTGACCACACAAGACTCTATTTCCACTAAGGCTTTGACCAAGAGCTTCGGATGGACAGGAGCAGACGTATTCCAGCAACACGACGTCCAGGAACTGTGTAGAGTGCTGTTGGACGCACTGGAAAAGACTTTTAAAGGCACCGTGAACGAGAATCTGGTGAACGATTTATACCAGGGATCACTGAAGGATTACGTGCAGTGTTGTGAGTGCGGCTACGAGAGCTCTAGGATTGATAATTTTCTGGATTTGTCGCTAGTTATTCGACCGTTTGGCTCGACGGAGATGATGAAGACAGTGGAGGAAGCGATCGAGCTGTTTCTAAAGCCAGAAATGCTGAATAAAGAGAACCAGTGGATGTGTGACCGGTGCAAGGTGAAGCGAGACGCTATTAAGGGACTCAAGTTCTCGAAATTGCCGTATATTTTGATGCTGCAGCTTAAGCGCTTTGACTTTGACTATGCTACGATGAATCGCATCAAGTTGCACAACAAGGTGACATTCCCCAAATATCTGGACATGAACTCGTACGTGAGTGACGAGAATGGAGGCGTTCGTGGAAAAATCGCCAGGAAAATGTCGATGGAACGTCACGAATTGGAAGGTAAGAACCACAAATCGTTAGAAGATACAGTGCCTGCAATGTCTTCTTCACCACCGCCACCACCAGCACTTGCAGCGATGGGTGGACGCATGCATCGACTGTCGTCAATGGATGAATCACAGCCGGTGACGTTCGATGAGAAGGAGGATGATATCAACGAAGAAGATGCGGACGGTGCAAGCTCGTTTGATACGTGGAGCCCGACGTTTGACCCAGAAGTCATGATCAAACGGTCAGGACCTCATGTGTACGAATTGTACTCGGTTCTCATCCACTCTGGCAGCGCACTGGGTGGCCATTACTACGCGTACATTAAATCTCTAGACACTGGTAAATGGTACAATTTCAACGACTCCAACGTGAGCGAGATCTCCGACACGGAGCTACAGAACGCATTTGGAGGAGCTAGTGGTTCTGGTTACAGTATGCGTTACAGTACGTGCGCGTACATGCTGCTGTATCGGCTGGTTGATGCCCAGAAGAATGTTAATGCGATCTTGCCGGAGAGCATCCCGCAGTACTTGAAAGACAGGATCCGCGCGGACGAGGAGAAAATCCACAGGCTTGAGCAGGAACGGATTGAAATGGCCAAGAAAGTGCAGGTCAAGTTCTTTATGAAAGGCGCCAAGCCCAAGAATTTAGAGAAAGCCATTCATGTGTACAAGACCGCAACGATCCGCGAAGTGCTGGAGATAGCGTGCAAGGAGTTTGCCAAGGAGAAAGACGTAGTAGTCCCATCCATAGAAAATGTACGGCTGCGCGGGTATAACGACTATAACTGTTTGTTATCGGACACGTACAACGACAAAGAGGACATGACTCTGTCGGCGTTAGGAATCTACGCTGGCCAGCAGATGTTCCTTGAGGTGAAGAGCGACGATGAAAAATGGGAGGATCATGACCCGACCAAGCTCCAGCTCTTCGTCCGACGCTTTGTTGATGATGCAAACAAGAGCAGCAAGACACCCGGTGCATTCATGGCAAGGTGTGTTCAGGTGGACGAGGACGCGAACGTGGGATCGCTCTGCGCTCTTGTCGCCAAGAAGTTTTCAGTCCCTGCTGACCAGAAGATCCGCCTCATCAAGAAGAGTGCGACCACATACAGCATCTCTGCAGCTAAAATTCTAAACGCCAACGAGGAAGAGCGCACTCTGAAGTTACGACTAAAGATGGATTTGCACCTGATGAATGGAACTGAGTTGTACTTCGAGGAGACCCCCGATCTTGGCCTCCCGTCACCAGCTGAGGCTTTCTTTGAGCGTGAAGCCAACATGATTACAGTCAACTTCAAATACTTGACTAGTCCGGCCGAGCCTATTCGCATCGACCGACGAGAGACGATTCGTACACTAAAGGAGCGGATTAGTGCCAAGATCGGCCTCCCTTTGGACAAATTCAAGCTGCTTCGAGGCATCAACAGCGCTGGCGTAGAGATCAAGGCGATTGACAGCACGCTATCCAAGCTGTCGATCGGCTCCAACCACACAGTCTTTGCGTTGGAGGGTACTCCGTTGAATACGGGCGAGTACAACTTCAGACTGATGTTCTACAACCCGACAAACACTGGTTCAGCATCTCCAGAGAGCGGTGACAGCAGCCACGACCAGCCTACCGTCACGAACGCTGACGGACAGGATACGTTTGACATTGATGAGGTGCTGGTGTCAACGGGTAAAGATGACTCGTTGCTGACTTTCGTGAGCCAAGTGGTGATCAGCGAGGAGATGCTGGTGGAAGATATCCGTAAGAAGGTGTGGGACGAGTTAGTGGAGAAAAAATTGGTAGATGACAGCAAGTTGACTCCGTCTCACGTTCGTCTACGCGATCTGCGTCAAAGCACTATGACTAGCGTGTTGGTGGACAGTCAGAAGCTCGTGGAAGCATCTAAACTGGCAGTGTACGAAGGCAGAAGCATCGTGGCGGAGCTTTTGACGGAGCCGGAGACCTCGGAAATCAACCACCGGATCGTTGAATTTGCCTATGTGAACCGCGCGACGTGGAGGTTTGTTAAGAACATGAGACACGAGGTGATCATTTCCAGTTCGGAGGAAGAGAAGCATCCCGATACGTACTTGGCAAATGCTGCTAGCGCTGCTTTGTCGATCCCTACAGAGCGCTTGGCGTTCGCTCGTATCCCGTATCATCGCGATTCGATTGATATCCTTGAAGTGGTTTCTTACGAGTTCTCGCCTGCTGCGGCCTTCGCAAACCAGGAGTCTGAATACCAGGAGCTCTTTTTGGTCATCGATACGAACGTACAAATGACATTTATGAACAACCACGAGCGCCAGCTTATCCAGAACTTCTTGGCCAAGAAGAGCGAAGAGAAGACGCGGGCGTTGCGTGCCAAGTATTCGTCCAGTAACAATAACACGTACCAGTATCAGAAGCCCAAGGAAGCTGCGCTGGTCATCCGGACGCGTTCCAAAACGAGCGAGCACAAAGGAACCGGCAGCGTAGGCAGCAGCAATGGCAAAAACTCGAACGGTGTCAGCATCCGTACGCCCACTCGTCGTGCTGAAAAGGCCGCGGCGCGTCATCATGCCTCGTCCGACACGGACGACGAGGATGACACCGACTTTATGACGGAGAAGACGGAACCTATAGACATGGATCTCTTCGGAGACTTGTCATGAGGTAAAAAGGTTTGCACTGTAGACGTTTTGTCGCTTCATGAACGCAGCAAGTGAGCAATATAGCGGTCAACTAATGCATGAATTAACCTGAGTCTTTATCACAGGGGTTACGGTGACATCAAGTCGATCACAGGTGTTGTCGTGACAACAGTTTGAAGTGCGTCCTGCCTCGTTGGAGTTGATGGAGCCGCAAATTCAGCTCCTTCGTGATGATCGACACGCGGAGTGTCACCTTGTGTGTCTTCATGCTGACGATTCCTGCATTTCTCTGAATGGCACGAACATTCAGTGCTACAAACACGACTCTGCGACTTGCAAGCGCATGCCTTCGTTGCACATTTGCCTTGACAAGCGCAACAGGAAGCTGCACTGGTCTCCAGCATCTCGTCGATTTCGTCCATTACGTCATCAGTGACTGAGGAATTGTTAACTTTACTTCTCTTGCTGCTTCGATGTTCGTCATTCACGTAGTCCGGATCGTTTTCAATGTTGTCTTCTTCTTCGTCGCTACTGCTGAAAAACGTCTCCATCGTTTCGTAGGACTCCCGTTTCTTTCGCTTTTTAGCAGGTTTCTTTGAGGCTTGATCCTTCAATACCTGCAGTTCTTTACTCAGCTCCTCAGCGATTCTTTTCCACTTGTACTTAGCCGCATTTGCGAGTCGAAGTTCTTCCGTCAGCCTCCGATTAGCTTCCTCGAGAGAGCTGACAGCGCTAGAACGAGAAATATCGGGTCGTTGAAGCTCCACCTCATTCCTGTCCGTGTTGATGACTGCTTGGTTCTCGATTTTCCTTGATCGTGCAGCATACCGTAGTGAATTGGTGGTCTCCTCCTGGTTCACGTCGGCTGGGCTGATACATGCAATCATAAGTGTCTTGCCATTACCACCGAGACTGTCTTGAAGCAAGCGCGTGAGCTTGGAGTCTCGATAAGGAACATGTGCGGTCCGGTTGCGCTCCGACAGTGCATTGATGACGTTGCCTAGAGCTAATAGCCCCCGGTTAATGCTCACACCCTCTTTGAACCGAGCTCCTTGTGTGTTGGTACGTCGCACGCGTTCGGAGCCGGCCAAGTCCACGAGGTGGAACTTGGAAAATCGCGTCTCCTTGACGCCGTCCGCGGCCTCACGATACTCCATTGATATTGTACAGATAGCGTGTGAGCGGCTTGACTTGCCGTTCATACTTGTTGCAGCTGTAGCACGTGATACTGCACCAGAGCGAAGTAGCTTCAGCGCTTCGTCAGCCGACTTCACTGTGTGTTCTTGAAGTCCATGAACGATAATCCCTCGATCCCCATCGCCTCGTACGGACAGCATCTGGCGTAATTTATCCGAGGAAATCTTGGGAAGGAGGTCACGAATTTCTTCGTTTAAGATCTGTAGCAATTTAATGAGATCATCACGCCGTGCTCGATATCAACATTAGAAAAGTATAGCTACGCACCTCCAAATACGACAACTTAATAACAAAACGTTGCGAGCTTCTTGAGGCGTTTATTCTCTTAAAAACCTGGGCACATAGCAAGCGTTTTGTCAGTATTAAAATGAATCTCCACGTGCGTCAAATATTAATACTTACAGTCTCTATAACACGCGGAATGACACCACGGTTGCTAAGAGCAGCGCTTGATCCGAAGTCGTTGCCCATTGTGAATCTTTGCAGCGCAAGCGTAAATTAGATAATCACCAGGTCACTTCTTGATCTTCACTTACGTCTTGCCAGATCCGGTCTGGCCGTACGCAAACACGGTTGCGTTGTAGCCACTGAAGAACTGGTCGACTATCGGGGCGACCAGTGTTGTGTAGATGATCTCCTGCATCAAATTCATTGCAGCGAGCATAGCGATGTTAACACATGCGTAAAATAGCATCGGCTTTGCATTTTTTCGCCAGTACACCTGCTGCGTCGTCGGTGGGAATGCAGCGTCGAAGTGGAAACACTTGTCAGCCAGCAGGACGTTGGCATCCTCAACGTGTACGCAGACTTTCGAGCCTTGCGAAGCCTCAATAGTGCTCAAAGGTCGCACGCGGACGGCAACCTGCACGGCATCGCTCTTGGATGATGGTTCGCAAGCCGCAGCCGTATCCTGCGTCTTGAGCATCATAGTCATAGAGCAACCAAACGCGCCAAATTTGAACTACAAAATGCAGGTATTGGATTGGCGGAAAAGAGATGGATCTTTTTCTCCAATCGTAGAACAGAGATCCAACTGGCTTTAGTCACCCTACCCGCAGTAAAAAAGCGGAGAAAACCGCACAGACCAAATAGCAGCGCGAGGCAGGCAGGAGCGGCGGCGCTGAGCGGTCGAGGAAGGCGTGCAAGCGCCTTATCGATCAACTGGAGCAGCATGATGCAGCCCGAACACACAGAGAATATCACAGAGGAGAAGCCGCTGGTAGGGCATTCGTACTTTGATTGCCTTTGTGCTCCATGTTGAAGATAGAAAGTGGGCTTATAATTTTTATTTTTAATTTTATTTAGTTATCGGACGACGCTGTGGGCATCACAATCAATGACGACCACAATGGCAAGCTTGTGCTGAAGGTTAAAACCCTCAGCGAAAAGCCACTACGTGTGGAGATCTTCCCCTCGGCCACCGTGGGGGAGCTCAAGGAGCTCGTGAAGAAGAAGGCCAACGCCGAGGGCAAGTTCCTGCGTCTGATCCACCAAGGCAAGATGCTTTCAGACGACAAGGCTACACTTGAGAGCTGCAAGGTCAAGAGCGAGGACTTTGTCCACTGCGCTATCAGCTCAGCACCTCCCAAAGCCGTCGTTAACCAGGTAGGAGAAGATTTGCTGTCATTTCTTGTGTTTGGACTGAGTGATGTAATGTATAAAATACTATAGATGGCAGCTACGGATAGCGAACCAGAGGAGCGAGATGATCCGTCCACTAGGAGAGGCTTCGACAGACTCCGTGATCGACTCAGTCGGGAGGAGATCCAGGCGCTGCGTCTGTATTTCTACCCGCAGCTCTCGGTTTTTATCAGTCAGGCGGAACGCGTCCCTGGCGAGAGCAGTGAGGACCGGATATATCGCCTGGAAGAGGAGTGGATGGCGTCACAAGGACCGCAGTCCGAGTTCGGTACGACCTCACTTTCAGTAATGAGAAAGGATTTCAGATGGCTAACTTTATGTGCCCACTTATTAGCGCTCAATGTTGTACCCACGGCTCGTATTGCAATGGATGCGCAGATTGACATGAACGGCATGAACAACTCCATTCTGGCAGCTGATAACGAAGGCACTGGCACTGAATTTCTGTGGGGGTTCTTAATGGGTCTCCTGCTTGGTGTATTTATGCTTCTGATGGTGAGTGGTGTATGCGTCTGCTGATGATATCTTCTTGATCCAGTGTCTGATGCGGCTTGTTATCTCTTTACGCTAGCTACTCGATCGATCCGTTCCTCGCAAACAAAAGGTCGGCCTGTTGCTCGGCGTGAGCATGAACTTCTTCTTGAGTGTTGTGCCGCGTGCTGTCTCCGACCAATAGAGCGCCGCCGCTGAAGCAGAATTATGCACGAGTGAGCGCGCTGCTGTCATACATTATTATATAATTCCGTCTATCAGTCTTGTGTGTCATGTTTCCACCCTCCAGTCCATACTAGGACGTGTTAAAGTTTTTCTTACGATCATAGAAATGTGTATCACACACCAAACGTTATTTTTCCACCAATCAGATGCGTCTGTTGGTGATTTTCATCAAGGGAGAGCAGTCGGAACCAGTGCTTCTGGCGTCGCTGCCGCCATGCTGTCAGTTGATCAGGAGCAGGAGCTGGAGCAGAAAAAGATCAGTGAGCAGGAAGCGCAGAGCTCCACGCCCCAGTCGATCACACCAGAGAGCAAGAGACGCAGACGAAGCTCTGCAGCATCAAATATGGGCAAGGAGCTCTCCGCAGACCAGAAGGCCATCGTTAAAATGTACGTGACGCGCGATGCCGGCGACGGCAACATCAAGTGCTGCTACTGCGCCAAGGAGATCACTTCGCGCAATGTGGATCGCTGGGCGTCGCATCTGCGCGGCTGCGTCAAGACGCCGGACGACATCAAGGCTCAGATCCAGCCGTTCCGTGGCGCTGCGTCGCCGACAAACAGCAACACGACTGCCCGAGCTGCACCACAGACGGTGAAGACAGACGTAGCGACCAACGTTGCTGCCGCTGCTCCTTCTGTACCGGCGACTATACCGGTAGTGGCCCCAGTGCCCACGCCCAACCCCATGGGCACCGGCTACAACGAGGTGTTCAAGGTGCACGTGTCCAAAGACTACATGAAGTTCAACGCCGCGCACTTTATTGCCTACAAGGTATGCAGAGCATCGTTGGAGTTTTGGCTAGATGGATGCAATACTAAACAATCGGCTCTGTATACGTGTTGTAGGGATTTCGCGAGAAGCTGCATGGACACAATTACCGTTTGGCTGTCACTATCACTGGACAGGTTGGCCCGGATGGCTACGTGGTGGACTTTGGTGAGATCAAGAAAATCTCGCGAGTCATCTGCAAGGACCTGAACGAATCTTTCCTAGTGCCAATGAACAGCGATGCGTTGAAGGTAGAGAAACGATGATTGCTGTTAGTCTAATGTTGTTAGGTGCTCATCTCTTTGTTTTGCGATTCCAGATTTCGTTTGACGGCACGAATGTTCACATTCTAACGGAAGACATGGCGAAGTTCAGCTTCCCCAAGGCGGATTGCTCGCTGCTGCCGATCGTGCATTCGTCGGCCGAGGAACTTGCAATTTACATCGTACGTGGCTGCAACCTATTGGCTTTTGTTACTATCGAGATGGAAACCTGTTGCTCATGCCTTTGCCCTTTGTTCAGAGCAACCAACTCATTGACGCATTCACGCTCGTTGCACTCCTGGTAAGGAATACGTGTCGTATGCATTGCAATTGCTTGAAAACAATTTCTTACAACTTCTTGTTTAATCATTACCGTTTACAGGATCGCGGCGTGCGGAAGATCGAGGTGAGCATCTCGGAAGCCAACCAACAGTTCGCCTCGTACGAGCGCACGATACTAGCGTAGAAAGCGTAGAATGGGGGCTGCAACTGTCCCCCAAATCAACCATTAACTGGAGCGAGGCAAGGACCCCGTCCCATCGTTTTCTGCGCTTGCTTGCTCTGTCAACGGCGCACAATACAACGGGCTCATGCTCTCTCCAACTGCCAGTCTTGCGTTCATGTTGCACTAACACGTCAAAAAGATTGCAATTTTTTTCTTCCAATCATCACTTGTTGAAGCGAATTTTCCACGAATGGTAAGAGCTGTGACATCTGATTGCAGGAAATCCCGCACTCGCAGCAGCCAACCAAAAATCGTCTACACCATTCCCCGTCTAAAATGATCATTGTATGCCTTTGGCTCCATCTTACCCATTCGCCGAAACGACCGGTAGTACGCAAGAGGCATCCACCAGTCAAAAAGACCATCACTCTTGATCATGTACGGCGGCGGCAGTGACCGATACGGCGACTCTTCCTCGCGTCGCGACTACGGCGGAGGCGGTGGCGGTGGCTACGGTGGTGGCGGCTACGGTGGCGGCTCGCGAGGCGGCGGTGGCTACGGTGGTGGTGGCTACGGAGGAGGTGGCGGTGGCTACGGTGGCGGTGGCGGTGGCTACGGAGGAGGTGGCGGCGGCTATGGTGGAGGCGGTCGTGGCGGCGGTGGCGGTGGCTTCGGTGGTGGAGGCGACTTGGGTTCCAACCTAGACACTCACATCCAATGGGACATCTCGAAGCTGCCGGTCTTCGAGAAGAACTTCTACTATGAGCACCCAGACGTGTCCAAGCGCTCGGAAGAGGAGTACGAAAAGTGGAAACGCGACAATCAGATTATTGTATCCGGCAAGGGCGTGCCTAAGTGCGTGCTGTCGTTCGAGGAGGCTTCTTTCCCCGAGTATGTGCTGGAGGAGGTGGTACGTCTGGGCTTCGACAAGCCCACACCCATCCAGTGCCAGGGCTGGCCTATGGCTCTTTCAGGACGCGACATGGTCGGCATTTCGGCCACGGGATCCGGCAAGACGCTGGCTTTCTTGCTGCCAGCAATCGTGCACATTAACGCACAGGTTCGTATTCTGCTGCAGAGTCTTTTCAGTGGATTTGACGCATCTCTCGCGGCGCTTGTGCGCTGATGGGAGTTGATAGCAAAGTTGTGTATAGCACACGACGGTCGTTCGCGCACATGATTGGATGCGCTGAACGGGACACAACACGTGAGACGAGGGTTTGAAACGCGTGATTGATGCACGTAATGCGCGCTAGTGAGGGAAATTCGTCCCCATTGAGCGCCATTTGCGTGCCTTTCGTCACTTCAGTTTGGTTCGGATCGCAGTCTGCTGTGTTGGAGTGCCGGTCAAGTTGGTGGAGATAAAACAGGTTCTCTTTTGTACGTGGTAACACGTTTACGAAGGAAAAGAGTATCCGCCAACAGACTTCGACAGATTTTTGGTCCGGCACGACCGACGGTTGACCACGGCTGCTTTTCTTCTTCTCTGACGTCCTCCTGACAATCGATCGGTGCGAAAAACTGCATTGGTGCGTTGTGGGCGATGGCCAGAAGAAAAAGCAGCATGCGAACACCTCAAATCCCTCGGCGCTCGCTTGTGTTTGCTTTCTCGTGCAACTACTTGCCCGTTTATTCGACAGTGTGAACTAACCACCTGTATGTTCGTTCTGTTTTGATTCATGTAGCCTTACCTGCAGCCTGGCGACGGTCCTATTGTGCTGATTATTGCCCCCACGCGTGAGCTGGCTGTACAGATCCAGGCGGAATGCAACAAGTTTGGCGCTAGCTCCAAGATCAAGAACACCTGTGTGTACGGCGGTGTCCCCAAGGGCGGTCAGATCGCTGACCTTCGTCGCGGAGTGGAGATCTGTATCTGCACTCCTGGTCGTATGATTGACATGCTTAGCATGGGCAAGACGAACCTGCGTCGTGTGACGTACCTGGTGCTCGACGAGGCTGATCGTATGCTGGATATGGGTTTCGAGCCGCAACTACGCAAGATCGTGAGCCAGATCCGACCTGACCGTCAGACGCTCATGTGGTCGGCAACGTGGCCCAAGGAGATTGTGGCGCTTGCCAACGATTTCTTGACGGACTTTATTCAGGTCACTGTTGGCTCGTTGGATTTGACCGCCAACAAGAGGATCAAGCAGATCGTGGAGGTCATGGACGACCACCAGAAGTACAATGCGCTGCAGGACCATCTGCGTGACATCTACGAGGGCGGCCGTATCATCATTTTCTGCGAGACGAAGCGTGGTGCTGATGAGCTGAGTCGTAACTTGCGCAACACTCGGTACATGTGCAAGGCCATCCACGGTAACAAGTCCCAGGAGGAGCGTGACTATGTGCTGCGTGAGTTCAAGGAGGGCAGGATTCAGATCCTGGTCGCTACGGATGTTGCTTCTCGTGGTCTGGATATCAAGGATATCCGCTACGTGGTGAACTTCGATATGCCGAAGAACATTGAGGACTACATCCACCGTATCGGTCGTACGGCTCGTGCTGGCAACAAGGGTACGTCGATTTCGTTCTTCACTGCGTCCAACAACAGCAGACTGGCTGGTCCACTGGTGAAGATCATGGAGGAAGCTGAACAGGAAGTTCCTCGTGAGCTACGCGACCTGGTTGGTCGTGGCGGCGGTGGTGGCCGTGGTCGTGGCGGATACGGTGGCGGTCGTGGCCGCTGGTAAACGTGACGTAGGTAGGGTGTTAAACTGCTTGGACTGGCGAGGATACAGCGCCGCCCGCTCCACATCTACAATAAACTACAGTAGTCGTTTGGAAACCTACTTGGTGCATTTGTGAATTTGGTGTATGCTCAATTTACTTATGCAACAAGCTACTAAAGTACAGCATCGGTAAGTGTTAAACCAAATCAGCGGTCGAAGACCTCACGGAGAGCACTGGCGTGGTGCTAACGTGTTCGTCTCTGTCTTCAGGTAGGAGTTGATCGAAGAGTTTGTAGTCCACAATTACGCGGTCACGCTCGATCACAGCGAAGTCTGCAAAGCGCATATCGTAGGCAAAGTCGTCCCAGAAGTACATTTTGCGCGCATACACATTCTCCGAGAAGGTTGTGTCAAGACCCGTAAGCAACGCGATGACAGCAACGCGAGACTGCGAGAGATCCTCCGTCGAATGGAACTTGTAGAATGGCGAGTTCTCGTTGATAACATGGATGAGCGTCGCTGGTAGCTTGATAGACGGCCACTCTGCAGTCACGAGCGGTACGTCGTACATTTGTCGAAGACCTGTGCGTCGATTTGTGAGGATCACACCTATGCGGAAGAAGTTCTCGTGTACCTCGCCCGAGTGTCTGGTGTTAGCAGCTCGAAACACGAGGCAACGGTGACCGTAGATGGTAGAAATCGTCATCTTGGCCGAAAAATGGATGTGAGCTCGAGGTCGAGCAAATTTTGACCATGCGATGCCTGTGATGATCGTCACCGTGATGATTCCCACCATCGATTCGACGAACACGATGATATTCATGTAACCAGCGTCCGGCTTCGGTGCAATGGACCCGTATCCAATGGTAGCAAGTGTGTGGACGCTCATGTAGAACGCCAACTCGTAGTCCGAAACCACGACGTCGTCGTATACCGCAATGCGGCTAATGTCAAACCAATACAGCAGTCCGAAGCCAAAATTGAGAGCTAAGAACGAAAGTATGAACACGAACGTGATCTTTGGCCAGCCCACGTGAAGAGCGCTTTGGTAAAACCGCATAAAGCTGAAGGATTTCGGGATGTGGACTGGCTGGATACGTAGGAATCGAGGAGTGTCCTCCACTTCGATCGACACAGCAGACGCGGAAGATTGAGCTCGCATACGTGGTCGACTGGTATCCTCCTCTCCGCTGTCGTTATCATCAATGTCGACATCCACAGCCTCCAAATCTTTGTCTTCTTGAGAGATTGTACTGGTATCGTCATCCAGAACAGTTCCAGCCATTTCTCGTTGAAGGAGGTCCTTTGCTCGCAGACCACCTGGGCTCGCAAAGGAGCCGCGACCAATAGCCTGGCTGTTTTGCTCTACCCCACAGCTATTACGACGTTGAACAATTGAGTTGCCCTTTGGCAACTGCAGCGTAGTGTGTCTTCGTCGTCCTTCCTGTACACTTGGCTGTTCATCTGCTCTCCATACTCGCAACCCTCCCCTTTGAGCAGCTTTAGTTTCAGCGGACGGGGCCTTTGGTATCCGTTGTGTTCCAAATGGCTGCTGTAGTAGTGGCTCGAACAACGGTTCTAACCCCATGGCAAACTTCTTTGGGCCATTCTTCTTCGGAAACGAAACAGGAGGATGTGGCTGAGCAGGTGAATTGTCTGCTGACTGTGCGTCCCATGAATTGGACCTCGAACTCACCATGATAGGCTCCGTGTACTCTTCTGGAACTTCGTGGATCGCTTCGTCATGATACGGATTGTCTTCCTGATGAAGAGATGCTCTTGACTTCCGATGAGGTCGTCGGTGAGCCACATTGTGAGTATATCCGCTATCTCCGTTCTCATAAGGGTTACTGTCAGAGAGGATTGGCTTGAGATAACGGACATCGTCAATGGGAGCAGCTTCCACGGCGCTGAGCTTGGCAAAGTTCATGATAACTTCTGCGTTTTTCTCGTTAAACTCCAGCAACTCGGCGAAACGATAACCCCATATCATATTCGCTGCAGTGTAGATATACCGCTCGGATACTGTGTCTTGAAGGGTGGAATCAACACCTGACATGGCCACTTCTACGAGCATATCGGACTGAGCAATGTCGTTCTTGGACATTCCGTAGAGCGGACTGTTCTCGTCAATCACGTGTACCACAGCCACGCCCATACGGAACGTGATGAAGTTATTTTGCAGCAATTTGAGGTTATACGAAGTCAGAACTTTTGTAGACGAGCAAGCGGGGTCATTTACAGCATCTACAGCCTCTGGAACCATGAAATTAGCCGCTATACGCGAGCGTCGTCGCTTTTCCGAGACTTCGTCGTCATGTGCTCGAATGTGCTTCGTCTTGTGCTCCACACGCAGTAAATTTACCTTGAAAACTGCTTCCATGATAACATCGTGAGTCACATCTCGTGACTGTGTAGCATTGGCAACTCGTACCACAAGTGCTAAATATTTTTTCCCGTAGGGTTGTACAACGCAAACCTTACTGAACGCCACTTTGGCTTGTGGTTTTGCAAATTTGGCAAATACCAGACCCGTGATGGCCGACACAATCATCATGGACGCAAACGACTCCACCGACATGCTCACATTGCCACAAGTGTGTGTGGGGTATACAACGCCGAAGCCAATTGTGGTAAAAGTCTGGTAACTCAAGTCGAAAGCCTCGAAGAAATTCGTCGGTTCTCCACAGACAAAACACGTAATCGCCGCGAAAAAGAAAATATTAATCATGAAAACCCCGAGCAATACGGTCAGTAGCATAGGCCACCGCATATTCAGCAACACGTAGAGAAAATCTTTGTATGGTTTTCTTGGGTTCGAGCTCGTAAAAACTCTGGGAAATAGAGAATTGGCTGGCAATCGGATGAACTGTTTCCAAAACGGCATTTCCTCGATACGCGAGCCGGCGTGGAAAATAGACGTGTCCTCGAACCCATTGTTCACTTTGACGCCGTGCCAAATGTGCACCCAGTCTTTCAATGAAGCGGGCACTTGCTGTGTGCCCACGTTGAGCGTGCCGCGGTTCTGAATGCGCTTCTTGGAGGCCGGCATGGGGCGTTATTAGTCTGAAAATGGCAACGGACAGAATTTGTCAGTAAAAGGAGTTTTGGTATCGTCGCAGTCGCCTCATAACGGACGTTCGCAGAGTTGAGAGCAATGTCCAGACCTGCTAGAAGTTTAACGACGCCGATGTGAAGCGGGCAAAATGACCATGCACTCGCGGTGGTGTTGCGTCGAGAATGTGAGGCAAATTGTGAATTGGCAAATGTTTTTGTGCAGTTGCACTATTTCTGGCAGCCAATGAGCATGGCGATGACAAGCAGCAGGTGGCTGTCTACAAGCCGCTGTCCAGAGCGATGTTCAATGTCTGAGGCTACTTGCAACTTCCTGTGTAGGCGAGGCTGGCAGCGACGGCAAGGGCACGCAGTACCCAATACTTGTGTAGCGGTCTCAGTTCGATACTATCCACCGTAAAGTCGACATCTTGTACATTAGCTGTGCTGCAGCAGATTGCTTAACACAGTACTCGCGCAGCATTAAACTTGGCGAAAAAGCGTTGGCTGTACATGGATGGCGTTGCTCAAGAGCATGGAAGCATAATGGCGTCGCATTGGACGTTGAATTGCGCAAACCTTGTGCCTTTTCACCCCTAGCGAATGATCAAATGAAAACCTGAACTTCAGGCCGAACAACGCACGTTACAACAACCACGCCATTCTCGAGTCGAAAAGTATAAGTCGCTGGACGCTTGTTAGAGCCCCTTGGACCGTCCAGCTTGGACGCTTCAGCTACCGTGGATCACAAATCAGCGATCTTGACTCACGCTTGTGTGTGGCTGCTCAAGATTCTTAAGCTGGCACACGCAAACTCATCCGAAGCCTTCGTGGCCGTTCAACTTAAACCAGCCGACCGCTGACCACAGTGATCTGACCTGACCTATCTGAATATGCACTCATCAGGGTGTCGCCATCTATAATACCATTGGTAGACTAACGAACCAATTCAACACAATCTGGAGACTGCACTGCCATTGGAATACAATTCGCCGCGTTCGTGGCAGTGACCAACATAACCTTCTTGTAGGGGCGTCGTGAAGCGACTAACGGTCACCACGTCTGATCTCAAAAGGATCGCACGCAGTTTGCTGGATGATCGGCAAGTTTGCCTGTAGCACACGCTCGTTTGTATCAAGTCTATTACCTGGCCATTCAAGAGGCAACTTGTATCCTCCTCTTTTTTTTTTTTTTTGCAAACTTCGGACCGAAGAGTATCAGTGAAGCGGTTTTATAATAGCTGGAAATTACTGCTCGCATTCAGTGGTGCGGGTATTCTAGGAACGTTGCTCGGAGACTAAGGTTCTCAGTAAGAAAAAATGTATGTCGCCACGGAGCTAAGCATGCACTTTGCGAGCCTTTGCAGGAAGTTCTGTGCAAAACGGCAGGTCCAGAAGTGAATGAGATTGACTTTTGTCAAACGATACCCTCCAGCTTCAAACGTTCTTCCTGACGTTGTCGGGGGATCCTGGGGTTCCGAAGCGAAAGAAGTTGTCAGTGTGCTATAACAACGCTCCAGCGTCTCCATTTTATGCTGACTCATGGGACGACAGTAAATTATATTTTCTGTTGGTTTTCTGTCGCGCCTGTCCATTTTCAACGAAAGATTTCAGATCTAACTGCAATGTAATGCAAGAAAATGTTTTCATCGTTGACTCCCGCCCACTTGCGATGAGCTGGCTCTGGGTTACCACAGACACAACGCAAACATATTCGACCTGCGATCCTATCGTACAGGTTAAAACAAATGACCAACACTGAAACGACGCTGGCTGACAAAACAAAAACTGCAGAAAGAAGCCCTTTAGATGATGTGACGCATTACATGTGCTTCAATGGTCATGGTTAAGATCGTCATGCCCTTGTGTCTGTTGCATGTCGTCAAGTACAAGAATGTGCTCGCATCGTATAATAACCAGCCAATTTACTAATACAATACGAACAGTAGTGTCCACCCTAAGGGCCTGTTTTCACCAAACAAATCATTCAAATAACACGAGGAAGGAACAACTTTCTCCTCAGAAGGCGAGTTGTGGCTTCACCACGACATTCTCCGACCACCAACGCGAAGCAATCCCGTTTTGCTGTCTCGCCGCACTGACTCATTTCTAGACACTTGGATCTTGAAAAGATTTTTTTTTACAATGGAGATCTCTCGCGAGGCAGGAACGCGCGGCGCACAGTCATTAAAAGGACAGACGCGTGGCAAACGAGCTTTTGCCAACCGCCGGGTCATTGCTTTTTCCCCGCCACAAAATACTTTCTACAAAATCCTATTCTACAAGTGGCAAACTTCACCTTGAGAACAAATCGGCTCAAGAAAAGGCGCCGGTCCATAGTGCGTTTCGCCCGACGCCTCGTCCTCTCGCCGCCACTTAAGTAATTTCCTCATGGCCGAGCGGCCGCAGCAGCTCGCCCTGGCCCGCGTGGCCGAGCTCGAGTTCCCCACGGACGGCAGCGGACGCCGCACGAGTGCCAGCAGCACCAGTAGCAGCGAATTCGAGCGTCTACACGAAGAGTTGCAGCTCGAGATCAAACCTCAACGTCTGCAACGCCAGTACACGCTCAATGTGCCGCCTTTCAGCGCCGGAGGGGACTCTATCTCTCGTCCTGGACTTCTAGATGCCGCTCCGGACGTCCTGGAGGACGTACTGACCCGCTGGGAGATAAACCAGGTTAAATGGCGCCGCAATGCGACCAGTGACGAGAATCAGGACGTCTCGGGTGAAGATGATACCGACACCATGCTGGAGGACGGCGTAGATCTGTTCGAAAGGGACGAGACCTTCGACGTGACGTTCGGGGACGGCTTTCTGGGTCTCGAGTTTGTACTAGACGCGCTTAGGAGCAAGGTAGTGATCAAGAGTGTGCACAGTGAAACGTGGTCGACTGTGGTGCTAAATATCCCGTCAGGCTTCACTATTACCAAGGGCTTAGCAGTAGAGGCCGTGAACGGACGAGACGTAAGCGCCATGTCACCCGAAGACGTGCTGGACAACTTACAGTTCAGTCGACGACCCATGACGGTGAAATTCCGACGAGCCAACAAGTCGGCGGTTGTGTGTAAACTCTGCGAGACCAAAGTGGACGCCAACAGTCTGGACGAGCATACAAACTACTGTGTGTTATCCAAGAGAGTGGAGTTGGAAGCGGATGTCATTAATGACTCACTAGTGAAGCTCACGGCGTCCATCAACGCCACACTAGCGGAGGAGGCCTTGAAGCCAATGTTTAACCAGGAGGAGATGCACATCTACCATGCGTTGCGCGTGGTAGCGATCCAGGCTTCGACGTGTGACGTCACGAGTGTGGATGCCTTTGCACTTTGTGCTCGACTAGTGAAAATTATCGACAGAATACGGCAACAAGAAGCCGAGACGTTCGACGTTGCCGGTGAACGCGGCGCTAACTATTGCAACAAACTGCGCAATTTGATTCACGCTAAGATGAGCAAAATACGGGCGTCTCACAAGGTAATGTTAAAGCAGGCGCCCGTGGAGGTGGAGCGGCTACCGCTGAAGCGAACCAAATCACTAGAGAATATGGAAAACAGCGACGGGCTGCGCTCATCACGACGAGCGAGCTTGAAGTCAGCGAATTTTCGTGTTTCTATCCGGGATTTCCATATTGTCAAGCCGATCTCGAAGGGAGCTTTCGGAAAGGTGTATCTGGCTCGCAAGAAGACGACAGGTGATCAGTATGCGATCAAAGTGCTGGCCAAAGAGCATTTGCTACGCAAAAAACAGGTACAGTTTGTGGGTGTAGTAGCATGCTCACTATCGTAGTGCAGCCTACTAAGATTTGACTGCATTGCTGGCCGCAGATCCAGCAAATTGAGACAGAGAGGAATATTCTGGCCAGTGTGGTGAGTCCCTTCGTGGTGAAGCTCTTCTGGACGTTCCAAACCAAGTAAGCAGTCCGTGATTATGATTAGGATATCGAGAGCAGCAACTTATAGTTTTTCTTGATAGGCGCAACTTGTTTTTGGTGATGGAGTATCTTCCTGGGGGCGATTTCATGTCGTTACTGGAGTGCATTGTACAGCTTGAAGAGCAGGTAGGAGTGTACAAACTGTACAGTGTTCGTGCTTTAAGTGATACTGACGCATTGTTTTGGCTAGGTGGCTTGCGTGTACATTGCGGAGATCGCAATCGCACTGAATCATTTGCACACCAAGGGCTGTGTCCACAGGTTCGAACTGCACATTTTGTTGGCTTCGTTCGTGAACTCTGGCTCACTCGCTTTTTATCCACTTGTTTACAATAACAGAGATCTGAAGCCTGACAACATTTTGCTATCTTCAACCGGCCACATAAAGGTGCGAATTAGTAGCTTTGCAACATACCTCCGTTGTTTCGATTCTAATCATTTTTTTTAATTACCAATAGCTTACCGACTTCGGCCTATCTGAGGAAGCTGTAGCGATGAGTGACACTGATTCGGAACCTGACGATGAGTCCATGACACAGGACGCTGACGTATTGATTCCGGTAGAAAACGCTTCGTCTGCACCTCCAGAAACTCGTCCGCGACGAACTTCATCATTCAAGAAGAAAAAGTCTGCGTACCACACGTATGGACGATGCGGTACACCCGACTATCTAGCGCCCGAAATCATTCTTGGCGTCCCTCACGGCCCACCGGTGGACTACTGGGCGCTCGGAATCATCCTGTACGAGATGCTGGTTGGCTTTCCTCCATTCAATGATGACACCGTGGACGCGATCTTTGACAATATTCTTGAGCGGCAAATCTTATGGCCTGACGGCGAGAAGTGCTTGTCAGCTGAAGCCGTGGACTTGATAGATAAACTACTTGACCCGAGTCCGTCAACTCGTATGGGCTGGGAAGGGATCAAACTGCACCCGTTTTTCGACGGCATTAACTGGGATACGATTCTGGAATCTGTGCCGCCGTTTGTACCAACGTTGGAGGGACCGAACGATACCAGCTATTTCAACAACAGGAACCTAACCGATATCTTCATCGACGATGAAGAGTTTGACGTTGGCTCTCGCTCTGCAAGTAGTAGTCAGAACATTGACTCTGGCCCTGAGAGCGACGACCAGCCACTTGGTTCGTATGACCAGAAAGAAGACGACGACTGCGAGACTGGAGATAACAACACAAGTAGTGTTTCTGCAGCCACAGCGGATGTGGACATGTCGTGGGGGATCGCAGGAGCTCTAGGCACGCTAGATGGAATGGCTGAGAGCGTGGACGATGGCGAGCAGACGGAAGACAACAACAGCATCTTTCGATTTCCTAGTGGGATGTATGGTAGTCCCGATGACTCGAAACTCTCAGATGCCTTCAGATCTTTCAGTTTTACAAACATGAACGCCCTTGCTGCTGCGTCCCAAGCGGAAGCTGAGATGATCACCGATTCAGAGCAGCAAACAGTAGACGTGTCAGGCCCGTCAATCCTGATCTAGCAACTTTTCAAGTTTTCCTCATTTCCTACAGCCTTTGTAAGTTCTCCTGCTCGTCAGCGTAAAGACTATTAGTAATAATTCCAACAACCACTGAAAGTACAATTGCGATATTCCTGTAAACAAATCGACGGGTTTTATGGCAATTGAGTTCACAGGAAAAAGTCGTCTTCTTCCTGTTCTTCGTCTTCATCGTCCTTGTCACTAGTTGCGTTTGGAGCATCAGGCATTTCGTCGTCTTGGTCAACAAGAGCGGGAGTATGCTTCGTCTTCTCTCCAGACTTGTCCCGTTTACTACGAGCTTTCTTCTGCTTCTTGGTTTGTTCCTTTGAAGGCTTCTTAAGCAAGAGTTCCACGGCCGGTCTCTCACTTGCAGAAGTAGAATCCTTCGACTTACCGTCATTGAAGCAGAACTGGTGGAATTCTTCTGTAGGCTGTTCCTTCTCGAAGCGAGAAATTGCCTCAGCACGAAGCTCTTTCTGGCGCTTCTGATCCTCCTCAGAGTGAGGTGTAGATGGGAACAGCGAGATGTAGGGTTCAGCTTTGGGGTAGTAGTAAATGTACATCATCTCCTTGCAGTACGTCTTGAACTTCTTCTCGTGTTCAGCGCGTTCCGCATCGTCAGTTGCCTTAAAAAATGCAAGAAAAAGTGAGCAAGTTTAATATGCTTAATGGAGATTTAATAGTCAAGCTTTTTTCACCTGGTCAAGGCGATTCTTGGCCTGACGCAGCTTGCGCATGACCTTCACACGCTCGAAAAAACGCGGCTAATGGAACAATTAAAACACCCCACGAATCCGTTAGCTGTCGAGTATAAGCAACGTCAGTTTGCAGCAACTCACTCTTTTGTACTTCTCTGCATTCTTTCTTTCTAGCGCAGTTTTCTCCTTCTTGTCGTGCTATTAGTTGATAACACAACGAACAGGTCAGCACATGTGACTTTGCCCAATTGCAGCATTCAGGGTCACCTCCTCCTTGAGCTGCTCGAGTTCCGCTTTCTTTGCTCTTCGCGTGGCATCAGCTACGCCCTGTAGTCCAACAATTTAAAGAGTGTTAAGACTGCTATAATTGCTGCAAAATATTTGCAATACGTCTGGTCAACGCACCCCGCGACTGAGGAAACGCTCGAGACCTCGAATGCGGTTTTTGAGCGATGGGACTTTTTTGGCCTGTTGCGGCTTCTTGGAGCGCGCGTTCTTGAAGCGAAGGCGAGTTCCTGGACCAAGGAATGTGCGAACAGGTCAGAGGACGAAGGAGGTTATTGCGGAGATGAGATACATGGAGCTTCACGCACCTGCTGTCGGCGCCATGGCAATCGAAAAAGTGTCGATTCGGTGCAAGTTGGTTGGCCGGCAACTTGCTGCTAAAATCAACCAATGGAAAGCGATTTATTACTCGCCGTTTTAATGCGAATAATAACTGTAAGGTTCGGCACCAGTTTCGCCAATTTTGTGTAATATTCCAACCAAGTAAAATTGCAATTGTTTCAGTTTGAGTGAAACTATTGACAAAATAGGTTTGTCTCCCACCTATGAAACAACACTCGGGTTATCTGGCAGTAAGTATTGTGCCTGTAAGAAATAAGACGCAATTATTCTGGCAGTAAGTATTGTGCCTGCAAAAAAATAAGCCGCTATCATTTCCTCCTCAGCCTTTGTTTTGCCCTGCGGCCAGCCAGGGCTCGGAAAATACGTAAGGTATTGTACGGCTTTCAACCACAGTCCGTAATAAGTTATTCCATATATGCAGAGACAATAGTTAATTATTGAGAAGTACCCAATGTATTGATTTCCAACAAAGCCAGTAGAGTGTATTTGTGCCTTTCACTTGTTCTGCGCTCATTATTCTGTCGTAATTCCAGCTCGCTCTCGATGCTAAATCCAGCCGGTTAAAAATAATTCCAGTCTAAATACGGCTGCAAATCCCCAATAATCCGAGGCGAATGAGTGGCACTCAGAATCACAAGCAAGCGAAGTAAGACGAAAGGAAGCGCGCCCCAAGCGGACTACTGCGATGCCCTTGCCTACTAACTGTTGTGCCACTTGTTTCCTTCCGGCGTGTTGTATGCAGCGTGCCGCAGCTCGACACCCCTCCGCTCCCGCTTCGCGCACGTCAAGTCGAGCCCCACAGCCTCTCAAGCCGAAGCTCGACCTTGCGAACTGGTCGCGCGCTCTCAGATCTCTCGCCGGCTAACTGTTTTCTCACAGGAGGCTGTGGGAAGTCGTTACAGGTAAGATACGGGCTGAATGATGCTATCTTCTGGTACTTGATCAGTTCAAAAGGTATTGTATGCGTGTTTTAGCAGTTTAGGTGTGCACTGGACCATTTGTGGAAGCAGCGTATCTCCGATGAGCTTGAGTCTACCAGCAACATTAGCTGTTGTATGACTATAAAGGTGGGCGAGCCCTTCGGCAGCAGCAGAACCAGCTGTGGAAGCCCACAAATGTTGGCGTTTGTTGTTGATGATGGCTACCTGGGTTTCGGGCCCGTGTGCGTCGGTGTGTCGATAAGTTAAAAGAGATTGAGTGGCCTGAAACTGGACCAATCTAAGAAGACGACAAAGTGTTGGAGTAGAATAGTTCAGCGTGCTACCAAACCTGTCCTTCACTGCCTCTTGTAATTCCTCTAAGTAAAAACACGGATGAACACGAATGTAGTCTTCGACAAAATTTTCTGCCTCTTGAGGCCATCGTGCAGATTTAGTTTTTCTATCTTCTGGTAGCACATTTCCTTTGCTTTTGAAAAGGCAGATACAAGCGCCATGCTTATGTCATACATGTACACTAACATTATAGCTCTCCACCGCAAGTCTGTCGAGATTGTCATGACGACGCTGGAGACAAAATGGAAGTGAGGCTACGTAGAGACTGAATTGCGGCACACTTACCAACGAATGGCGGGTAGCAAACCGCCAAACTGCCCTAACTCCAAGCTCTCTCCGTTAACGCAAACCAAAATGTTGGTCTAATAGATGGGTTCACATGAATAGGGTTATTTTAATTCAGGACGAATTAGCGACTTACCCGCCAAAACGGCTGAAAGGCACACTACATGAACCTACATTTGCTGGAACACTTCTTGCACAGTCGTCACGCCCCAGTAGGACCGATTGGCTCGCAGAAACATCAGCATCTCGAAGTTGACCGACAGGAGAGACGCTCGCTCTGAAGAAAGCACCAGTTTCGCCTGCGAGAAGAGCCGCTCACAGCGATTGCTGGTGGTTGGCAACTCTACCAAGAGCTGGCAATATTGGGACGGCCTCTGGCGACAGCGCTCGCACGCTTCGCCCTCAACACCATCGTCGCAAAGTCTTCGTCTTCCTCGGTCTTCTCCTCCCCGTTGTCGTCGCCATTCTTGCGCTTTCTTCCAGTGAGGCCTGGGCCGGCCGTCGCTGACGGCCTTGCGCTCACTCGTCGTCAGACGACCGGTTTCACCGTTAATGACCTGCATTAAAACGTAATATTAAAATTAGTATTTGCAGACACTATTCATATAAAAAATACAATAGCTTCACGGTAGCAGCCTCAAAAACCGGAGATAGGACGATTGATGCCGTTACTCCCAGCTTGGATGTCAGCGATGGGAAGCGCTGCAAAATTGAGTCGAAGAGTACGCGAACGTCGGCTAGCGACAGGTCTTTAGATTGTAGCTTGATTGTGACGCTATGAAAAACCTGTAGATCGCCTAGAAGCGCCTCGATCTTACGATGCATTGCTGCCTTTGGGATAAGATCAAACACAGCGTCCACTTGCTTGATCTCATCGCGAATACGCACGTAGCGCGCCACCATGTCGTACGTAGAGCTCCAGCGAGTCGCGTGGGGCATCAATGGAGCCAGGGGTGTGTGCTCGCGTAGAGCGGCGCGGTTGTTTACCGTGCGCAGCGCGGCCATCAGCGCGCTCACCGCTTCCACCGTCGTCTTGTGCTCCTCCAGATATGAGTTCACAGCGAGATTACACCGGTTCGACGCGCAGCCAATGAGAGGAACGCTGAGATTTGTCACAACGGCTGCCATTATCGCCAATTAGAAAAGCCAGGCTCGATTCGGATTGGCGGAAAATCGACAGGATACTATGCATAAAAGCGCAATGTGATTGGGCCGTTAGATCTCCTTCTTGGTGCAATCGCCAGAAGCGTCTGTTTGTGCTGTCTGTCGTGCCAGAAAACGGCGAACAGAGCCACGTAATGCTCCAAAAAGCACGTCCAGCCATCAAACATGATTCCAAATGGCCCGTTCAGCTCGGCGCTGATCTTTGTCTCAACAGCAGCCACTTCCGTGCCGATGTATACATTGAGCGTCTTCGAGCAAATAGGCTTGAGCTTCGACATGCTGCGAGTGAGTGGATCGTCGACCTCACTAAGAGGTATTTTGCAGTCGACGACCCACTCAATCCAGCTGTACATGTTGGAAGCCGTTGGGTTGACGAACCCACAGGCTGTCAGTGAGCCAGCCTGTCTGCGCTGGTGTGCGTCGTAGGCGGCGACGTAGCCAGGGTGGTTGTCCTTGAGGTGGCCAACCAAATTGGCGTAGCCACTTGAGGGTAGCTGTTTACGCCGCGTGCCAGAGTAGTTGCAGGTAAAGTAGTGTTCGGCGTCAGCTACGTAGAAAATCCGGCAGAGCTCGCGGTTGGAGACGGAGGTCATGCATGAGCTTCTTGCAAAACGATATCTAGATAGAGAAGCTTGCATGGTATGCTCTGCGAAGGTAGTGTTTTGTGCGTGTATTGTGGGCCATCCAAACGCTTGCCTTGTGCGGCTGTGTTGTTAAGCGAACCGGCACGGTTAATAGTATACTGGCCAGTCAATAGTAATAATTTTTAATAATTTCAATAGTACTACCCAGTATCAGTTTGCAATAGTTAATAATTAAATACGAATAGTATTGGTACGGAATTATTTTTTTTCCGAGCACTGCGGCCAGTTAAGTCCAAGTTAACTGTGGATTGCCTTATCTCGCCGGTTTTAGGGCGGGGGTGGTGAGCCTGCTTGAAGACGGAATAAGCTAATCAAACACGAGTAAAAGAGATATAAAGGCTTTTGGCGGTTTGCTGGCCGTCACTCCAGCTGTCAACAGGCTTATATCCGCCGATTGCATCTGAAGCTCGTCAGCGGTGTAGTGGAATAGCTCACAACTTTTGCTTAATTAAAAATTATCATTAAGTATGCGCTGCTCGCATATTTATGGACCTTTTTCGCCTGAATTAACACTGTATCCGCCTAAACAAGTGAAAAGCACAATACCAAATAACTTATGTCAAGGCACACAGCACAAATGTGTGTGTAAACCGGCAATTTCCTGTCCCGACTTAAGTGAACCGATGTGATTGTATGTCTACAACTGTTGAGAAAGCCTAAGGCTCGTTGTCAACCCAAGTGTTTTGCTCACTTTGTGATTTGATTGGCCCGAATGTAATACAATGAAAAAAAATACATGAAAAAACCAACTTGTTCGGCTGGCACGCGATTTCAGTTTTGACCAATCAACAACCAATTTAATTTTGCCGCATGCTTAAAAATCTAACCCCATCGATATGGGGCCGATATCTCTTCGTCCTCGCCGTACTCCTTCACAACAATTCATGTCTACGGGTCGGCAATGGCGCCGCGGGAAAGTGATAATGGCTTATGTGGCCTACTAGACTGTCTGTTTGTCATCAAGCGACAGCGAACACATCACACGAAAAATCCCGTTGTTTGAGAACGGATCTCATGTCAAGTTCATGCCACAACTCTTCTCAAAGAGTCCGCGTTTAGTAATAGTACAGAATGACCTTGTTTACTTTTGATGTGTTGCTGTATGGGTTCACCGGCAAAACACGCCCACCGTTTAAAAATAAAAAAGAAACGATTTTTCTGAGGGTGAGTAACACACTTCAAACTACGTTGTGTACACATTGTGTGGACTCCTCTCCAGTAAAATACGCCCACTTTTGGCGCCAAAACAGAGGGTCGCAACGTTGTCACTCATTAGGTTTTTGAATGCTAAAGAAAACAAGCCCACTAGGCTCCAAACCACCAATATATCTACCCTCACAACAAATTTGGCCCCATCAAATACATCAAGTCCCCCCCCCCCCTCCTTCTAAACTCTATCCATGGAGACCCCTTACATGTACCATGTAGAGGACGAAGGTCTCTTTGTCCTCTCTAAAGTGATGGAGATAACGTGGGACATAGAGATCTACGTCCTCTGGTGCATGGAAGTGGGTATCATCGACAAGCAGAAACGGTGCCCAAGCTGTGGAAGCCCCATGAAATCTTCCGTGCCTCGGAAACTTTGGCGGTGCTCGCGCAGGGTGAAGCATGCCAATGGAAAAAAGAATCATTGGCATGCTTACATGCTCTTTTTTTAACGAGGACAAACTTAAGCTGCATCGCTCGGTTCGTCTCCTCGTGGCCTGGTGATGCAGCTCTCCCAGGTACAAGCGATGGAGATGGCGGAGGTGTGCGAGCGTACAGTGCGTGACTGATGCGTTTACGGCCGTCGAACAAACTTCTCAAGGCCGATATAAAGTGAAGTTGCTCAAATATTATGCATATGCTGCTTAAGTTTCTCTAAAGTTGCTACTATGTTGCGTTTCGGCGGTGAAGGTCACATAGTGGAGATAGATGAAACAAGCCTTGTCGAGAAGCGTATGTACAATAGGTGGCGCTGCTATCAGGAGTATTGGCTCTATGGAGGCGTGGAATGCACGACTGGCCGCTGGTTTGGGCGCATCGCGTTCGGCAAGCGCGCAAAACAGACACTTCTTCCGATAATCAAAAAGTTTATTAAACGTCGTTATGTTTAAACTTGAAATTTGTAAGCAAAATCACAATTAATAATATTTATTTTGAATTTTGTAGGACGAAGATCATGTCTGACATGTTTGCAACGTACGTTTGCGAGCGAGGCAACAAGCAGCATACCCTCGAAAACAACCGCTTCCTCCTGTCTATGCAGTACACGCACAGTTGGGTCAACCACAGCCTCAACTTTGTGGACCCCTTTACTGGGACACATACATACACCATAGAGGGGCTGTGGGGGGCCGTATCAAGCGCCTTAAAAAGAGCATGTGTGGAAAGACAAACTGGATTCTTATTTAGACGAGTGTATGTGGCGCTCCGTTTTTTCCTGCCAAGGCCATAATCAGCCAGTACTTAGCTGGTTAAGAAGTAGCCATAATACGAAATGAATAAAGTTTGTAAAAGTCATTTCTATTTTTTCATTTCTAAACAGTGGACTGGCTTTGTCCAATTCGAGTGTCGCGTCTGGATGAGCATGGGCGGATGTTGTCATTTTTTACTGGACATTGTCAAAAACATGGGCAGAATATTCAAGATTTTGCTGACTATCTTTCTCGTTTTATAAATTTTTTTATTACTTCACCTGGGGGAAGGTGCTTCTGGATGTTTCAGGCAACTACTACGTCATCGGTAACAATGTCTATGTCCAGAGCAAACGTGTAAACAGATGGGACACCGCTTAAAAAGGTGCAGCTCGTGGATAGACTCGATTGTGATAGCTATAACTTTCACATGAAGTAAGTACGTATCCGCATCGAAATCGTCTTTGGTCTACTAGTGAACAAATGAAGAATTCTGAAGCAGCCTCTGCATGCTCGGCTCCGCATTACCGTCTTGTTATATCGATTACACAATTCTGTATTACAAACGATGTATTAAACCGCCTGATCAATTTTGTATCCGGGAAGAACGATCGCGCAATGATCAAGATCTACTGACTTACGACTCTTTGCAAGTTGATCTAGAAGATGGGAGTCGCGTCAAGGTGCTGGATGATGTAGGTCATTCAGAGCTAGTAAAGAACATTACAACCCACAATTTGCATGTAACCTATAAATAAGTGTCAACGCGACCGTGACGACTACAAAACGTCTCGATGACAACGCCTGCTGCCACTACTGTATCCGTACCAGCTACCGCAGTTTCTGGACAAGATTGCGACCAGATGCAGCTAGTATTTGGAGTGGTAAGTTGTGTTCAATAAAAACGTTAATTATACCAATAGAAATGGGAAGAAGCAGCGACAGTGCTATGCGTTTTAGTTTCGTAGTATTGAACAAGGACGCATCCAAGCGCGGTTCGAACGTCATGAGCATGAGCTTAGCTATAGGTTCTGCAAAGCCATAGAGGTTATGATGCCCGGAGGAGGGAACACACGGAACCTTGCTGGTGTTTTATAATACACGCAACCCGGAAATCGCTGACGATAGATTCCCTGACAACAGAACGCTCGATTGCTAATCTGTGATTCTATCCAGGTTACTTCATACTCTGGTGGTAGTCTCGATCGCATTTTCTTAGTAAAAGAAAATAGCGAGTGTTTCCGATAATTGTATTTTGTGTTCCTGCTCGTTTGTAAATGTTAATGCTTACAGGCTTATCTGTCCGACTTGCTTGACCACTAGTAACTTGATGTAGTTGCTATTTTGCGCATAAGTTGTTCCTACAAGGATTACGATGCCTTTGGCAGAACTGCACAATAAAAGCAACGATACAAGTACAAAGCATACGCATAACTCGCTCAACAGGAGCGGTTTGACGTCTTTGTCAAACCAGTACTATTGAGATACACAATAGATGCATAACCAAAAGGCTGTTTTAATGATAACGCCGCCTCTTTCACCCACAACTCGAAGTTAGGAGGCATCTTCAACCTTTAGGTTGTTGTCGATATCATCGGTAACCAGAGCTTGCCAGTCTGCCTTGTTCTTCAGACGCATAACCGCATCGTAATTCTCCACACCACGCTGGACGCATCCGCTACTAACATGATCCAACACGTGTTGAATCTGGCTATCAAACCAACAAATCTTGAAGAGAGAAGCCTGCTTTCCTCGCACCAGCCGACGACAAACATGTCCTACAATATAGGCTGTGCCAGCTGGGTGATTGTTTTTTGACTTCATCCAGGGTTCACATTCTGGGGGCAAAAGCCACAAGCTTGTGCAAGTAGACCTCCTGTCGCAAAACTTGTTGTGTCCGGGGATGTACGACCGGTGGTAACGGGGAATGTTGTGGTCGGGAAACATCAGATGTGGCATCAAAGCTCACCACAGCACCTGCACAAATTCACAACAGTACCGTTAACGAACCCTCTAGTCCTTGGGTTACCAATTCATTGTGCCTACCATCAGTAATGACTCGACCCCGGCCACGCCCATGGCCTCAACCTTGCTCTCAGCCTCGACTTGAGACCACTCGCTGAGCAACAGCAGCACTGCGAGCTGCTGGCGACGTCACCACATCCGACGCATCCAAATACAGGTTGAGCGAGACCTGCAATCTATTCATAATGTGAGGTAATTTGAAAACAGATTCGGGTCAGTGTGATTATTAGTGCATAGTGAGATGAAGATATATGCGAATGGGTAAATCAGTTTTATAGGAGCATAAGTATGCTACGAGATTTGATGCACTGTACGGTAAACAATAAAACATTAACAAAGGCTTGGTGCACACGCTTCCGCGGACAGTAAAATCATGATTGGCATCAGCTGGATCTACATACTAATACTGTAGATGTCAATAGTAGCTACAGCTACTGGCCACGATGGGCCCCATCGAATGGGTAACAAAAGCTGGTAAGCTTCCAGTTTATTGTTTTGGTAGTGTCGGACGCCGAAGAAAGCGTGTCACGGCTGCGTGTCATCGGGTGCTGTAAGTTTTCAGAGACGGGGATACTTGGTAAAATACATTGATAAAGATTTCTTACCAAATAAATTATTCTCAACGACCCCCGAAAATGAGATTTTAGGCGGGTATGGCGGGAGAGCCTAGCAAACAGGCGTCCTCAGCTAATCGGCGTGTTGCGTGGTCTGTGAAGGGTTGGGGGTACCAGGGATTAGCGCTCTATTAGCGTCAGTGTTGTGTCTCTCTTGGTGGTGGTGTTCAAATGAATGAGAGTCGCTAGTCTAGGTCCGACCAATCAGAGCTCAGTATTCGGGTCTCAGACCTTTACTTGATATCTATGCCTATCTTGATGAAAACACCTGATACCTTAGGATACCAGGTCTCAAGGTCAGTACCTAGTCGCGACTTTTCCGCTATTACTCCAGCGTATTAACCATTGGTCGTCACCTAAATGGACTTGAGACATGCGCAGTTCTAGCGAGCGATCAGCCGTCACCGACGCATCTAATTGACGCTAAAGCTAGCGTCTACGACGTACCCCGATGTGACAGATGACAGCTTTGCTATACTAGCTTTCGGCGCCTCGAGAGCCTTGGTGGCTGGGTGACGGCGCCCCTTGAGGTCAAGCAGAAGAAGACGGCTCACATACTGGCACGAACTCCGTCATTAGGCTACCCCAACCAGGCTAATCGCTCCTGCTACTCCCACTGAAGGTACAACCAGTTTTACCGACACTACGTGTAACTATTTCTTACGTATTGTGTTTCTTGGTCTACAGGCACGAAAAAAATCTAGTGTGAAGAACTAGTTCAAGTCGGGTGACCTAGATTTGGCGTCGATCAGCGCCTGAGTTGAGGACTTCGTGGCGTCGAAGCGCACATCTAAGCAGAGTGAGAGAGAATGCAGCGATGATCGATGACTGATAATATACATTTATTCTGACTTGCACTGTGTAATGTGCATGGGGTTTAGGACGCAGTGCTCGCTAAAAAAAGAGAGATTATAATCGTATCACAGAACAGAACTGTCGCAAAACCGGTTCGTGTGTATTAATATTAGATAAAATGCAAAATAGTATGTATGGAGCTAATATCATTGTTTTTTGCGCAGCCATTTTGAAAATCCGTGAATGCTTCTATGGCCTCGCTCCGTATCATCCTTTGCGATGGCTGCCTTGGTGGATAGACCGCCTTTCAACAGACTTCGTACATACTTGATGACGTATAATAGCCTGGAGAAAAAATATTCTTTTGTTGACAATCACCATTTTGTTCCATACGTTTTCTCTAGATGTTCAACAGAAGGCTGGCCAGCATATCCTTGGTGCCATTCAATCCACAACTCATTAATGGAGGATACACCGCGACTCGATGGGTACTGTGGTGCTAGATGAACCGTTTGTTGCTGAACACTGCTTGAGTTTACTATATTTCTGGATTTGTGCTGGCTGTGCGAGGATTAGTAGGTGATTGTGTCTGTGCTACAAAACTATCGCTGGCAGGTATGGAAAGGAACAAGCGGAAGGCCATGTCACCATGGAGGAAAGCTGAAAACTGGTTGTTCGACTCCTTAATGAGCTAGACTATTTCCTGATGTCGAGCTGCTAACGCATCAATTACTGCTGCGTGTTGCGTTCGGATTGTTGGGAGAGTAGAGAAATAGCAACTTGAAGTTGCATGTTGAGATGTTGCGCTCTAACCAAAGCTTGTGTGCGATACTGTAGGAATTGATCTCTGAAGACAGCATGATTCTGGATCCTAGGTG